ATGGGGCTCGTGCTTGGAGGAGGGAGCTCAGTTGTTCTCATTGGGCACTCAGACGCTTCTTGGGTTGACGACCAGGCTACTCAGCGGTCGTCACAAGGTAACACCTTCAGCCTTGGCCCTGGCTCAGTTTCGTGGCGCTCTACTCGTTCGTCTTTGGTTCTCAGCTCCAGTTGTGAGGCTGAGATCTACGCCACAGCCATGGCTGCAGAGGAGTTATGCTGGCTCACCTACCTGCTGACCGACCTTGGAGAGCGGCCTAGTTCTCCTCCAGTGCTGTACGTCGACAACAAGGCTGCCATTGCCTTGTGTGAGGACCACAGACTGGAGCACAGAACGAAGCACATCGCTCTCCGTTACTTCCTTCCTCGTGAGCTTCAGCAGCGCGGTCAGCTTCGTCTGCGCTACGTGGCCTCTCAGGCCAACACCGCTGGTGTTTTCACCAATGCACTTCAGCCTGGTGATCATCAGCGCTTCTGTACTTTGTTTGGGCTAGTGCCCACTTTGTCTCACTTGTTGTAGGCTTTGCCTGTACTGTGATCTCTATATATACTCCTGCCTGTTTGCTCTGCTAGGTTGAGATCACCTTTGCTGTTTGTACTACTTATATATACTTCTGCATGTGAACTGGCCTTGTGGCTCTTTGCTTGTGCTCGGATAGTGTGGTGACGTTGTGATCCACCTTGAGCTTGTTTGCCTTTCTTGACTGGTCTTGTGACCCCTTGTTCTCCCCCACTTTGCCTATAGGGGTGTGTCAAACACTATATGTGTTATTATTGTGTAGGCTATAGTGGGTTAGCCTTTAGGGGGTACACAAAGTTAGGGTTTCCTACTTGTACTCCAACTTTCATAGTTCAATCACTTCTTGTTCGTAACACAGAGTAGTAACGCGCTCTTTGTTACAGGGGAAAAAGTCTCCCTCTGCGTAAAGTTTGCGCTCTGTGTTTCGCGCACATTTTGAGCGCGCTAATTTCCAACCTTTTAGTGTTACGAAATGATATTTATGTACACGTTTTAGTGGGGGGAAGAGATGAGCGATTTCGCTCAACCAAACATTTCGATTCGATACCTGAATGTGGCCAACATCGCTGTGCGAAACGCAAAATAGGTTCTGGAAACTTTACGCACACGCACTTACGACAGTAAAACAACTTATACGCATTTCATGAAAATAACAAACATCGAGTGTAATCGCCTGTCAGATATGTTGTTGTCTATCGCTCACGCGCTGGCTGTACTGCGATCAAACGGAAGGGGGATATCGGAAGGAAATTTCAAAGAGCCTTCCTCTCGATAAGGTCAAAATCAGGGACCACAGATTCGATACCCTAAAAAGTCAGGATCCACTAACAGGCTAGTCTGTTACACTATACTCAAAATCAAGGATAGGAAAACTACTACTCTGATTTGAACAGGGTTGAGATCTCGATAATTCTGAAATCTCAGTCTCCGCAAACTGGGAAGTCTGAAATCACCCTGAAATCAGGATAATTACCCTGATAAAATCAGCCGTGTTTATATCCCTGTATTTGCATGTACTTATCATCTCAAGCATTTTACATTCACTGTGCTATTGAGATCAAGGGACCATCACCACTACTCAGACCTGTGCTAACTTTTCCGAGGTGATTCTAGGGACGATCAATTTCTGATCGCAGCAGGGTGTGACCCAGTAGATACCGAGCTCTCTTCGCATAACATTGGGACAATTTTCGCCAAGCGAAATTACTGTTATGCGTGGACGAACTCAGTAACCATTTCGCAAACTGATTTGAAGGCCGTCCAAATCTTCTTGCGAATGAGTTCTGACCTTGCATTCCATATCTGGTTACATTTCGCGACCCTCGACCACCGATGTCGACACCACCCTGGCTCGCGAGCCTCTGGCGTTTCTTGCCCAAGCAACCTTCATAAGGGCGCGTTCCTGGCTCGTGTCATACTTCAGGTCTTCCGGGGAGGACAAGAAGCTGGCCCACAGTTGGCCCCACTGTGGATCATTTGAGACCCACTCCAGGTCTTCTGGCTAATTTTTTTCTCTTAAGGGAAACAAGAAGTTTGACCAGAAGTTTGACACGAGCCAGGAACTCGCCCTAAGTTCTCTCAATTCAATCAGGTTGAGCTCTTGTTTCGGTTTGTATGTGTTCGCCGGTTTTTGCCGAACATACTCATCACCCCGCTTTGTTTCGCACCAGCTAACAGGTTTCGCAAATCCCAATTTTTCCAATTTCTCAAATGTACACACCCACTTTTCACACCTACTAGATCCCCACAGCGGGATGTGGCGCCTCCGTCCCAGCCGTCCAGGCCGACATTCTCAGGGACATGTGGGCAGTTCAATCAGTATGCATGGCGTACAACCAAGCACATGGGTCGGCGTGCTTGGATGCGTCATTCATCGTTGTGTACACGTTGCAAGCTTTATTATTGTCTCTTGAGCAACGAGCTATCGTGATTCGCGAAAGTAGCTCTCGTGTGCAGGCGTGGATTGGGTCTGACCAGCAGCGTTGGGTCTCTAACGCATGTACCGAAGAAAGAACCACGGTGGCGTATATATTTATCCGATTGTTTTACGACAACCTCATGACTGCTTTTTTACGGTTGAGGTAAACCGTCTTCAGCCAACTTAGCTGCAGTGTTTCCGAGAAGACACGACAGGAGATATGTCGCTCCACGAGAGTGGCCGTGATGAGCATCATGACATTTCAGAGCTATTGGAGACGCTTCTTACGGATTCAAAGGTGGGATTGTTCATCCGTATTTCTTTTTGTCTCGCGGATAGATTCCTATATATTTTTCTCTGCTCGTCAGATGTTGCTGGTTCTCCTTGGGGTATTCTGGACGACATGTCATGGCCTTTCTTGTCCATCATCATGTTGAACAGCCTGAAGAGGTGGTTTCGTCTGTGGAACCTGATCATGCTGGTGAAATTGGGGGGGATTCGGGCGCTTCAAGTTCAGGAACCATAGAGTCTGTAGGTACTAAAGCAGAAGTGGATGTTTCGGATTTAATTGCTTGGGTGAGTGGGGAGGTTACTCCTAAAGCTGAAGAAAGTGGCTTGGCCGAAGCAACAACTCATGTAGAGGTGAAGGATTACTCCAAGCAGATTTCGAGTACTAGGAGTGAAGCTGCTACAGCTGATGATAGTGATGCAGAAAATACCACACGGAGCTTAATTAGTGAGGGCAGTGGGAGGGTTTTAGAAGATGTCAAAGCTAAGCTTGACGATGGCGGTATGGAGTATGTTCTTGCACATATTTCATCAACCAACTGACACTGTTGGCTTTGTAATCCTACTATAGGTTTAGCTAGTGTGTTGTTGTCTGCATTCATGTTCCTCTTCTTGAAACAAGCTGAGCAAGGCACTTGACTTTCATATTCCTTTGGTCTGTTTTCCGTGTGGTTTTGCGGCTCATATAACAAATCAGTGTTGAACAATGAGGAATTATGCAAATATGATGAGCCTAGTTCCGGCCAAAGTATTGCTTCACCGTAATTTTATTGGCAATCCCTTATCAGCGTACATTGTTACAAGTCGTAATAATAGCGAAAACATGGAACCAGCACTGTGACAGAGGATGGACAAATCGTTTTTGGAAGTGTTCTGAACATTGGCGACGCGTTGTCAGGACAGACTTCTCGGAGCACTAATTGGCTGTACAGCTGACAGACTTCTGAATCCCTCGTTTGGATCCCGGGATTGGACATGGCAGCTACAGAGCGGTATGGTGGCGGCGGCGCGAGGAGGGAGAACTGTACAACTCTACGCCCCCCCCAACTTTTCGGCTACAATGTTAGGCGCCTTGCACGGGCAGCGGAAAATGATTGGTCTCTAGTGGTTTAGGGTCCGCAACCTGGTTTCTCTGATTCTGATGTGGGACGGAAGTGATTTACTTTCCATTTCCCCCAAGTTCTTTGTTATTTCGGAAACTACGAAATCGATCGGGCTATGCATTGGACTCTTGAAATTATTCAATCAAACTACGTTCTTATCGCCAGGTCAGCATCTTTGAATGTTGGCGGGAAGGTTTTTATCCGCCCAGCCCACACTGTTCCCAAGGTAAACGACCCTGCACATTCAAATTGCTTGTTTGATTTGAATGGGCTCTTTCCGATCACAAAAGTTCCGGCGAATGGAAGTGCCCCTTCCCCTCCTTCCGCGCCCTCACAACCACCAGCTGCGCGTAATTCCCGTCATTCAAATCATTCGTCGGGACCATGATGCGACAGCCAACAACTGCTTCTCTAATCTGACGGCTGCGATGTGTCACTCAGAATTAATCGACGAGCTGCACATCATCCACCTTCTCATCTTCCCCCTCTGCAAGCAGACATAGGAAGATGCCATACCGTGCAACACATCCGACCCTCGCGCGCAGACCATTCCTACCCCCCACCACTCCCCCCATCCGCCCCATTCGGCCCTTGCGCAAACCGCGAACGCTTTCAGCAGCTCCCACTCAACCCCGACCTCACATTGCCTCATTGCAGCTCTCTTTTTCGGGAGGATCGCGCAAATTGCGGCTGACTTAGATGCTGCTGGGTCCCTTAGTGCCAAGGTCCTGCATCGCTTTTCTTCAGCCCGTCCAAGGGATTCTGCCTCCCGCTGCTCTCGCAGTTGGAGGGCTGCTTGACTAGAATTAGTTGTGTGATCGTGTACTGAACTGGACCTCACACTCGACGGGCTCGTGAAATGACAGTTGGTAGGCAACGGCCTCTGGCTACGCGCGAAAACCGCCTGTGATCTACCTGTCCCAAGTTCATATCTGCAATTTTTTTCTACTCTCGTAGCCGTCGGCCATAGCAGTTGTTGCACGCCACTAGACAGTCTCATTATGCGAAACCGACCAGCCAGTAGATGCAATCGCCAAACTTAGCGCAATTCTCTCTTGTTCCAAATCTCGTACCGTCTTCTCTGCACGATCCACTGAACGCGGATCTAAAGCGACTCTCCGCGAACACGCAAATTCGGTCCCCTTGGAGTTTGAATCTCGATTCCATCCACCATGCCGTCACGCGGGGAGCTACCCGCGTTCACCTTCACGGCGCGAGAAGACAACCGCTCACCCGCCGCAGCACCGCCGTCCGCAGCAGCCGTCCCCGCTACCGCCGGCTCTCCACTCCCCACAGCAACAACCACGACGGTCGCGCCGAAGGCTGGAAAGTCTTCCCCTGTCAAGCCGCCAGCGGCGTCCCCTACGATCCGGCCTTCCCCTGGGGTTTTCAGGAGTGGGGTGTCTGGGGCAGCTGCAGGGCCTTCAAGCAGAGCGCCAGGACGCGGCGGTACTGGAAGGACGGGAGGGGGGAGGGCGGGCGGAAGGGATCACAGCGGCCGGGGGCGATTAGCCGCTGGAGGTGACGCGCCGCGAGTTGCTTTTGGGCGGGGAGTACCGAACGCTGCGGTTCCAAGTGCTAAGGCGGCAGGTAGCGGCAAGACTGCTGGCACTGGCAAAACGGCTTCTGCAGCCGGGAAAACGGCTGATTCCGGTCCTGTCAAGTCTGCAGCTGCGGCTGCTAATACGACGACCACTGGCGGCACCACCGCCGCGGTATCCATGCCCAAGAAAGAATCTTCCGCACATGCTGTCAAGGAGCCCCCGTCAGAACCTACAGCCGCGCGGAGCATTGGCGTGAACGTGGCGCAGCCTCCGCACCTGGCACAGCCGAGCGTAGTGACGGCCGCCGCGACTAACGCAGCTCCCGCGCAAGGGAGCGCGGGTTTCTTAAGGACGGGAAGGGGGGACGCGGCAGCCGCAGCGGCCGCGGGCGTAATATCGGCGGGAACCGCGGCGGGGTTTCGGGAGCCAGGACCCGGAGCTGCCGTTGGCATCGCCGCAACGGAGCCGGGTAGCTCGTCGGGGGCTTTCACGGTGTTTCCGCGCACGGGGCGGGGGGATGTGCGGCGGGCGTACGCGCTGGGGAAGGAGCTTGGGAAGGGCGGAGGGGGCGTGGTGCGCGAGTGCTTGGATCCGCTCACGGGGCGGCCGGTGGCGGCGTGCAAGAGCATTCCCAAGTCGAAGCTACAGGTAGGGAGGGCTCCCTGCGAACGTGCTCCTGCCCAATTCCTTCACCTTATCTCGGTCCCGTTTCCCCCATCGTTACCGCAACCCTTCTCTATCCCCCACCTTCTCTACCCCATCGTTTCACCATGTCTATATTCCCTCTTTTCCCCCATCCCCACCCCGCCTGGCTCCTCCTACTAATGTCCAAACCCTACTGCGTTTTCGTTTCCTTCCCGCAACCACCATCGCTCTTCTCTCACCATCCACTCCCCCCCGCCTCTTCCGACCCCCCCTCTCTTCCCCCTCCCCCCATCCGCCTGTCTCCCGCCCTTCTCCCCCCCGCAGCGGCGCGACCTGGCGGACGAGGTGCGAATGGAAGTAACTGCGATGAAGCGGCTGCACGGGCACGCGCACGTGGTGCAGCTGCTGGGCGTGTACGAGGACGCGCGCGCCGTGCACCTCGTCATGGAGCTCTGTACCGGCGGCGACCTCTACGACTTCCTCACCGCCGCCGTCACGCTCCCCGAGCCGCTCGCCGCGCGCATCGCGAGGTACTTGCGCGGAGGGCGGAGTGGGTGCGGAAGGGTTTTAGGAGGGCGGGGGAGAGGGGGAAAGAGGAGTTTGTGATCATCGGGGAAGGTGTGTGTCGGCGCAGGTAGCGCGTCGTAGAAAGATTTCCAGATGCGATTTCCTCTCATCTTCTTATCTTTCCGTCTCCCGTTCCGCCACTTTCGCGAATTCCCCTCGCTTTATCGTTCTTCTTGCCGTTGCTCAACTTTCCTCGTTACCCTTCCTTCCCCCTTGCCCCCGTCGTCTCGCAGCCAAATCCTCCGCGCGTTGAGCCACTGTCACCGCAACGGCATACTCCATCGCGACGTGAAGCCCGAAAACATCCTCCTCGTGCGCGCTGCGCCACTCCCCAACCGCGCTTCCGCCTCCGCCGCTGCCGACGGCGCGGATGGCAAACCTGCGGGGCAAAACCCCGCGGAAGCGGTGAAGGCGTCGACGGCGGCGGGCGCGGCGGGCGGAGACGGCGGGGACGGCCCGCCGAGTACCCCGAGCAGCACGGCAACGAGCAGTCTGTTCAGCACGCGGAGCAGTTTCCTCGACTCCTCCAATGGCGCAACCACCACCGCTAGCGCCAGCACCGCCACTAGCAGTCACGGCGCGACGCGAGGCCACCACGCGGATGACACCGACGCGAGTGGGGCCTGGGACGCCCGCAGCGGCAGCGGCGGGGAATTTGGCACCGCTTCCTGCGCGGAGGATGGGTGGGCGGAGATCCACGTGAAGCTGGCAGATTTCGGGCTGGCCGTTCCGCTGAAACCGGGGCAGCAAGCCGTGGGAATGCACGGTAGCTCCGTGTATATGGCACCTGAGGTCGTATGTCGGAAACCGTACGGCGTGCAGGTGGATATGTGGGGCCTTGGGGTTATACTCTATACCGCGCTCTCCGGTTTTATGCCGTTTTGGGGCACGACGGACGAGGAGCTCTTTGTGCGGATTCTTCGCGGCCGCCCGGATTACCGCAGCGATCCGTGGCCGTCGATCTCGGACGAAGCGAAGGATCTGATCCGTTGGTTGCTGACGATAGATCCGCCGCGCCGAGCGACCGCGGAAGCCGCGCTCGCGCACCCGTGGATTCTCCGTCACTGCCCCCCGCAACTGCCGTCCCTCTCCCTTCCGCCGACGCTGCGCGAAGCGGGCGCCCCGCTGCACAGGCGCCGGCCCGCGTCCTCCGCGTTCCCCCCCGGCAGCCTGCACTTTCCGCCATCCACCGCGCGGAGGCTCGATGGCGCAGTGGGAGTGCGCGGATTGGGGGAAAAAGGCGAGGAAAGGCCAAAAGGAGGGAGTGCGGTCGGGGGAGCGGCAGCGTCCACAGCAGCGACTGCTGCAGGCATGGTTGGGAAAGTTGGCACCAGTGCAGCTGCAGCACCAGCAGCAGCAGCAGCAGTACCAGCAGCAGCAGCAGCAACCACTGCGTCCGCTCCTGTCGCTTCTACACCTCCTGCCACACAGACTCGTTGTGCAGTAGCTGCGGCACCTGCTCCTGCCTCCACCGCTTTCACCCCCTTCGCAGCAGCTGCTGGTGCTGGTGCTGGTGCCCCCTCTCCGTCCCTAGTAGCAGCTACCACTCTCGCTACTGCTTCTACTGCTTCCCCTGTTCCTACTGCTGCTCCTGCTCCTGCTGCGGCTACTGCTCCCCCTGTTGCTGCCTATCCCGCTGCGGCACCTGCCGTGGCGACGGCGGCACAGGAGGCACACATGGATGTATGCACGCGCGCGGACATGGACGCGAGTGGGCGGGGTGTTAGTGCCATGGACGCATGTGCGCGAGCGGACATGATGGACACAGATGTGGAGATGAGCGATGGGGCCGCTGTTGCTCTCGCTCTCGCTGTTGCTGTGGCTGCTCCTACTACCACTTCTGCTGCTGCTGCTGCTGCTGTTGTGGGTGCTGGTGGGAAGAGGCAAGGCGGCAGCAGCAGTGCGGAGCATTCGCCCATGAAGGAGGGGCCGGACGACGCTGTCTGCATGGATGGGCATGAGCAGGCGCAAGAGCATGGATTCGTGCATGCGCCTTCGCCTGCTCCTGAGAATGGCCGCTTCCTGTCGCATGCGCAGGTTAGTGAGGCGCTGCCCTGGCAGCACCAGCAGCAGCAGCAGCAGCAGGTGCAGGATTTCAGTCAGTTTGCACCGACACATGCGCACGGGCGAGGCTTTGCCCACAGCTACATGCATGGGCAGTCCCCTCTCTACCCTCGCCTGCCGGGCCAGGACCCCGCCTTTGCTGCCTTCGCCCCCACTCCCCCTTTCAACCACTCCTCCGCTTTCCACCACTCCAACCCCACCCCGCCCCTGCTTCCTGCACCGGATTTCACCTGCCCCAACCCCTCGTCCTCCTCTGCATTCCTGCCTCCCTCTCCTGCCGCCTCTCCCGCTCCTTCCTTCGCCTCGTCTGCTTCCTCTTGCCCCACGCCTTTTCTCGCCCCTCTCCCTCCACTCTCCATGCTCCCTACCTCTGCGTTCAGCCTGTCCCACACACCCACTGCCCCTGCAGCCGCTGCTTCCGTTGCCCCCACCACCCATGCCCCTTCTCCTTACAACAGCACAGCACCGCCTCCAGCCATTACTGCACCTCCAGCTCCCACCGCTTCTCCTCTCCCTGGTGCGTCCAGCCCAGCCGGGTCAAGCTCGCCCACCGCCCTTCCCCCTGGCACCTTTGTCATCTTCGGTAGAAGCGCACCCAGTACTAGCACAGCAGCTGCGCCAGGAGCAGCAGGCGTGGCACAACTGCAACAGCCGTCCGCACTGGCGCAGTCACCGCTTGCCCCTGCCCCTGCTTCTGCTGGTGCAGGTCCTGGTGTCGGTGCAGCAGCAGCAGTCGCAGGAGCAGGCAGTCGGGGTTGCAGTGACGGCTACCACTCCGCTCACTGCGCCTGCAGCAGCCCCCCTATTGGCCTCTTCTCTATCGGGGCGCCAGGGGCTTTCCGGCTGGGAACAGCAGACCTGGGAGATGGTGGGTTCACCCGAGGAGGAGCAGGGACGGATACGATTATGGGGGAAGGCAGCCGGGGATTGGCTGGGAGGAGTTCGTTGGGGGGCAACCGAGAGGGTATCAGCCCCGGTCGTAGGAGGTGCCTGTTTGGCCAAGCCCACTCTGCCAGCAACGCCGCCTCTGCTGCTCCTCTTGCTCCCTCTGCTGCTGCTTCAGCTGCGGCACTAGCAGCGTCCGCAGCAGCAGTATCAGCGTCGGCTGTTTGCGTCTCGGTGCTGCCTTCCCTCGCGCCTGCACCCAAGGCTAGCAGGGGGGGAGGTGGAGGAACCAGCCTAGGCCCCATCACGTCCCAGCGCACCCGCCCCTCTGCTCTCAGCAGCCCCTTCTACCTGTTTTCGCCCAAGAGGAAGCTGCGCAAGGCTCAGGTTGTGAGCGGTGGAGGGAAGGACGAGCGAGCAGGACGAGTAGAGAAGGGCGCTGGAATGTCAGCAGTGGCTGCCGCAGCTGCTGAGGCTGCTGCCGGTGCAGCAGGGGATTCTTGCCCTGGGTCGGTTGGATCCATCTCTGCTTTCCGAGCCCGTCTCTCCCCTGCGGTGCTGATCGATAGGTTCGGGGCTCCCGTGCCTAGGGCAATCTATTCCTCCACGGGAGAGGTCCTTCCTCCTGCTGCTCCTGATGCTGCCACTGCAGCAGCAGCTGCTGCTGCTGCTGCGACAGCAGGTAGTACTGCTGCTGGTGTGAAGGCAGGTGTGACAGCTGCAGCTGCACCTGCTTCCACTGGGCTGTCCGCAATCATGGCTGCTTTCTCTGCTCTGAGCACGTCTCCCACCAAGCTCAACAACACTGCAGCTGCTGTTACAACTGCTCCGCGTTTCAACTTCTCCCTGCCGTTCCATGGAAGCGCTATCGTTGGTGCCAGCAGCTTCGGCACCAAAACCAGCAATGCTGCTGCTGCTGCAGCAGCAGCGCCAGCTGCTGCTGATGGCGCTGCGTCTCTCTTTTCCCATGGAACCAATCCGTATTTCGGTCCTGGAGCATTTGGATCCATTACTGCAGGTCAACCATTGTTCACCTCCACTCCTCCGAACAGCTCTATTGCTCCTGCAAATCCCACCACAGGCAACATCACCACCACCTCCACCACCACCGCCAACGCCACCACCTCCACGACTGGCAGTGCTATACCATCATCCCCGCCTTCCAGTGCTACCCCCACCCCCACCAGTGTTGGCACGCCAACGCAAGGCGCATCTAGCAGCAGCCCGTTCTCCTCCTCTGCCTCTCCCTTCGCTGCTGCCTCTGCCATCGCCCGTGCTTCTGTGAAGAGCCTCTTTCGGAGCATCAGCAGGGGCGGCGGCGGCAGCAACGGCGGCAGTGGCAGCAACGGCAACAGCTCTGCTGGTGGTAACCAGAGTAACGGGGTGAATGGAGATGTTGCTAGCGGGGTTTGCCCTGCTGGGGCTGTAGGGGAGTTGGAACAGGACCGTGCACTAGCTGCTGCTGTCGCTCTTGGGCTCTATGAGAGCAATGCAATGCAGGCAGGACCAGCGGGAGGACAAGGGGGTAGAGGGATTGGTAGTGGTGGAGAGGGGGGGATTGGTGGAGCAGGCGTGAGGAGGGGGCTGTTTTCTGGTTCGCCATCTAAGCGAGCCCCGCTAACCCGAAGGACAAACTCTGCCAAGACTGGGTCCACTCCTCGTGGGCTCTTTTGAATGGGCACTGCTAACACACACACACACACACACACACACACACACACACACACACACCCACACACTCGTACACACTGCGCCGCACGCACCTGCTAACATGCCTCATCTCACGTGCATTACACTCATACCATGAGATCTTCAGCAGCTCTTTCCATGGCGTAGGCCTTTACCCAGAGTATTTATGCATACAGATATATTTTTACATGCTCCGATCCGAAGCTTCGAAGTCCTCACCATCCCTCCCCTTTCCCCAACTTTCTTGCCTCACTGTCTCTACATCTTTCCCTTTGCCCTCCTTCAAGCTTCTGTTCGTTTTTCTCTTGCTAGATCTATGGTCTAGGCAGACGTTGTTGAGGGCGGAAATGGTCAGTTAATGGTTTATGAGCTTAGATTGTATGCTAACGTCATGAATAGTCAACAAGATCTCTCGTCTTCCACTAGTAAGATACATAAGGGACATACTAAACAGGTTTCCATCTAGTATATTTCAGAACATTAAAATGTGTTGATGGCCTTAACAGGTGAGCAGTTGAGTATACCTGTAAGGAAATTCCCTTTTCCTTACTTCGCATCTCTGCTCAACGCGTACATCACTGTAGCACCTCAGTCAGCACCGTTACCACTCACAACCATCGCATCATTCATCATCCCGCCATTTTCGCACATCGCATCCCGACCTCACGGCTCGGCTGGTAACCCGCGCTCCGGGCCTACGCTTCGACATGTTCCCAACCTCAGTCCCAGGCTCGTCGCGCGACCATTGCCGTTACCACTGTAGTTTCGCTATATATTCTTCGCTCATACCTTCGCTCATTGTACTCTTGTTTCGATAGTGCAATTCTCGCTCGTTCACTCAATTGCACTCGTAACACTTGGTATTCAGAGCCTACGATCCCATCTCGGACCGCATCCACACCTTCACTTCCCCACTATCTCAATTTTTGGGGGGGGTAGACGTCTCTCAGCGATACAGCACCGCCGCTCGTAGTGCTCTCTCGCAAGCACGCACGGCCACGACCGAGGCTCTCGCTAAGCTTGCCCGACACCCCCGCCATGGCCGATTTCACGCTCGCCACATTGACGCAGGAGCAACTTGATCGTCTCGTACGTCAACTGGAGGATTCGGCGCTTGAAATCGCGACCCTCACAGCGGAACGTGACTCCGCCCGTCAACAATCCACGATGAACGTACCGACGACATCCCACGCACCAACAAACACATCTGCACGTTCGGATGAGCCGATCATCATCTCGTCCGGCACACCAACACAACACGACAGCACGGGACAACGCTCAGGCGCAGCCAGTGAGGGCGCCGCCCAGCCGATGCCTGGCATGGGAGGAAACAGGATCGCACCAAGCCCACGGGAGCCTCGAGAAGTCCGTCGGCACGTGGAATTTGCGGCGACAAGTGGCGAACAACCCAACATGGCACCAATGCCGCTCAAGCCGCAACGCCCGCCCTGCTTCGACCCAAGTCAACGCGGCGGTCCGACAGTTCAATCGTGGGTCTTCACGATGAACGTTTTCTTCGACGCCAATTACGTCGAGTCGGACGCCGCAAAGATCCGGTATGCGGTTTCACTGCTAAGAGGCCCCGCCATGGACTGGTGGCGAGTCATCGTGACGTCGCCACGCGCCTACGAGCCACCGTCGCACGAGGAAGGGCCCTCGGGTCCAGCTGTCACCTGGAGTTCGTTCTGCGAGACCGCCCAATACAGCACGTGGGATGCGTGGTGCGCAGGACTTCGGGCGCGTTTTGAGCCGATCGCGGCTTCAATTTCGGCGCGTCAAAAACTGCGCACTTGGCGCCAGCTCGGGTCAGTTCAAGACTATACCAGCGGTTTTCTCGCACTTTGCGAGCAGGTCGGCTACATGCACGAAGCGGAGCGGGTGGACCGTTACGTCGGAGGGCTGAAGCCGGACATCTCGCACGAGATAATGCTGCGCGGACTCTCTGACTTCAACGAGATTCTCGCGCTCGCCGAGAAGATCGACATTCTACGCCGACCGAGACCGGGGTCCTATTACGGACATCGTCCTCGGGGACCGACCGAGCACGCCACTGTACACGCCGTCGCAACGAATGCAGCTGCCGCACCGTTTAAGGGGCGCTGCTTTGCTTGCAACAGGCCGGGCCATCGCAAGAGCGAATGCCCAGAGGAGCTGAGGCGCCGAGTAGCAGAGCAGGGGAGGGAGTCTCAGAGGCAGGGAAACGCCAGCAGTCAGTAGAAGTTGGGCCAACTACTGACGAGACTGCCTGCTCGCCCAACCACACCGACCCTCACCGAGTCACAGTACCGATTCATGCCATCGATCGGGCTCGGATGAATTAGGAGGGTACAGCGACGGATTGCCCGGTACTAATCTACGGGAAAATACAGGGAGCAGCAGTGAAGATTTTTATTGACGGAGGAGCAAGTCACAGCTTAGTTAATACCGCAACCGCACGGAAATTACAGTTAACACTTAACCGATGCTTACCTGAGATAGATGCACGCTTAGTCGACGGCACGCCACTGGCTATACGGGAAAAGGTGGAGAGGGTAAAGGTCCGCTGCTGAGGGAACTTCGGGTTTACACAGGAAATGCTCGCAACGACACTGGATGGGCACGACATTTTATTGGGACGTGATTGGCTGCGACGGTATAACCCACGAATTGACTGGACGACGGGTAGCTGCACAGTGCGAAGTAGTGGTAACTGGGTCGTCCTACCTCGCTGGCAGCCACCCGAGTCTTTGACGGTTCAGGTCAACGCCATCACGATGAAACGGGCTGTCGCTGCTGGAGCTGACGTGTACGCAGTGGATATCGCATTAGTGGAAAAAGAGGACCGGCCGAGTGATTTGCAGAAACTGTTGGCAGCCGTACCACCCGAACTACAGGCACTACTGAAACGGTTCTCGGGTATCTTTCCGGATGACTTACCGCAAGGGCTGCCACCTCAGCGGGCGCATGACCATAGGATCGAGTTAGAACCGGGGGCACAGCCAACTGTACAGCGCCAATTTCGACTGACACAGCCCGAGCTCGACGAGCTAAGGAAGTAGTTAGATTACCTGTTAGAGAAGCAGTTTATCCGACCGAGCTCGTCACCGTTCGCCGCACCGATACTGTTCACACCGAAAAAAGACGGGGGGTTTCGCATGTGCATCGACTACCGAGCGCTTAACAGGGTAACAGTAAAATCACGATACCCCATCCCCCGCGCCGACGAACTGATCGACCAGCTGCGAACCGCACGAGTATTTTCGAAAATAGACTTACGGGGAGGTTACCATCAAATTCGGGTCGAACCATCGGACTGCGCCAAGACAGCATTTAGGACTAGGTACGGGTCATTCGAGTACACGGTGATGCCTTTCGGGCTGACCAACGCGCCTGCAACATTTCAGATGACCATGAACGAGGCGTTTAGGCCACTTTTAGATAAATGCGTCATCGTTTACCTCGACGACATCCTCGTTTACAGTCGGGACCAGCAGCAGCACTTAGTATATCTCGAAGCAGTTTTTAAAATTTTAGAGGCACATCGGTTACTCACCAAGGGCTCCAAGTGCGAGTTTTTTCGGGACAGGCTAGAGTTTTTAGGTCACGTCATTTCGGAGGCTGGGGTTGAGATAGACCCTAAGAAGCTGGATACCGTAAAAGCGTGGCATCCCCCGACGAACATCACGGAACTGCAGAGTTTTTTAGGGTTTGTTAATTACGTTCGTCGGTTCGTCCCCGACATTGCACGCTTAACAGCCCCGCTCACTGATTTACTGCGTAAGGGGGTTCCTTTTACGTGGGGGGAGAAAGAGCATGCTGCCTTCTCTGCCCTGAAAAATGTTCTCTGTTCACCACCCGTCCTACGCATCGCTGACCCACACCGCCCCTTCGAAGTTGTTACAGACGCGAGTGACATCGCCATCGGAGCCGTACTGTTACAGGACTTCGGCAACGGCCTCCAACCCATCGCCTACGAATCACGCAAGCTACATCCACCTGAGCGAAATTACCCGATACACGACCACGAAATGCTCGCGATCGTGCATGCATTCGAAGTGTGGCGCTGCTGCTTGACCGGCGCAGACGTGACAGTACGGACAGACCATCGATCCCTACAGTACCTTCGCGCACAGCCCCACCTCAACCCACGACAGATTTGGTGGCTCGACTTCCTCGAGTCGAATTTCCACTATACGGTCACATATATAAAAGGAGCCTCGAATATCGCCGACGCACTGACCCGCCCCACTGCCCAAATCCATGCGATACTACTCGCCCAGACCAGCCCGTTACTGACAGAACTGTTTACCCACGGATATCAAACAGACCCATTCTTCACAGGAGGAAATTCACAGCAATTCGCAGCAGCCAAGGGGGTCTATTACGTAAAAGCTGGATCCGACCGCATCTGGGTACCAGGGTACACGCTACTACGGGAACTACTGTTACAGGAGGCACACGACGGAGTTACCTCGGGACATTTCGGAGTAGAAAAAACACGGCAGCAGCTGCAGCGGTACTATTACTGGCCGGAAATGTTGACCGACGTGCAACGACACGTGGCATCGTGTCCCACTTGCCAACTCATGAAGTCAACCAGGAAGCGGCCGGCAGGACAATTACAACCAATCCCACCTCCCGAGCGTGCTTGGCAGCAGGTGACGATGGACTTCGTCACGGGGTTACCGGCCGGGGCGAGTGGGAATGACGCGATCCTGGTCGTCGTCGATCGTCTAACGAAAATGGCACATTTCGCAGCATGCAGGAAATCAATCACAGCCGAGGAAACAGCCCGACTCTTCATCGCCACCGTCGTTCGACTGCACGGGATACCAGCGTCAATCATCAGCGACAGGGACACGAAGTTTACCAGTAATTTCTGGCGGAACCTGTGGCAGCAGTTCGGCA